GAGGGTTCCCATATACCCCATGCCTATATACATGCCGCCCTCCACTTTCAACACCTTCACCACAGCGGTATATTTGTTACAACTTCTGAACCTGCATTGACATATCATCACCCTATGTCCATAGTTTACATTGAGATTCACTCTTGGTGTTGAACATTGTATGGTTTTGACAAATGTATAATGACATGAATCTACAATTGTAGTATCATACAGAATTGTTTCACTGCTCTGAAAATCCTCTGTTTTCTGTCTATTCATCTATCCCTCCTTTATAACCAAGGCAACCACCAATCTTTTTACTGTATAGCTTTGTCTTGTCCAGAATATCATATAGTTGGAATCATACAGTATTGTAGTGTTTTCAGATTTGCTTCTTTCCCTTAGTAATATGCATTTTAGTTCCCTCCACGTCTTTTCATGGCTTGATATGTCATTTCTTTTTAGCACTAAATGTTTTCTTGTCTAGAGGTACTACAGTTTATCCATTCCCCTACGGAAGGTCATCTTGGTTGCTTCCAAGGTTTTGCAATTATGAAAAAAACTGCTATAAACACCCATATGCAGGTTTCTCTGTGGACATTTGTTTTCATTGTGGTAATGCTGGCTGGCCACATTACTTTTGAATGAGTTCAAAAGTATTCACTCTGCTTCTAGCCTCTGAAAGAGATTATAGAGAATTGGTATAATTTCTTTGGTAGAATTCAGTGAGCCACCTGGGCCTGGTGTTTTCTGTTTTCAAGGATTATTAATTTGTAATATATGTCTTTAGTACATATAGAACTATCCAGATTGTCTGTTTCTTCTTGTGTGAGTTTTGGCAGATTATGATTTTCAAGGAATTCATCTGTTTTCATCTAGGTTATAAGATTTGTTAGCATAGATTGTTCATAATATTTCTTTATTATACTTTTAGTGTCTTTGAAATCTGTAATGATGTCCCTCTTTCATTTCTGATATTAATAATTTGTGTTGTCTCTCTCTTTCTTAACCTTGCCAGAGGCTTATCAATTTTATTGATCTTTTCACAGAACCAGTGTCTTAGTCTGTTTTATGTTGCTAAAAGAGAATGCATGAGGCTGGGTAATTTATCAAGAAAAGATGTTTACTTAGCTCATGGTTTTGCAGGCTGGGAAGTTCATAAAACATTGTCCCAGCATCTGCTCATCTTCTGATGAGAGGATATTGTTCTGCATCACAACGTGGCAGAAAGTCAAAGAAGATGATATGCGCAGAGACAAAACCTAATGAGTGTCCTGGCTTTATAATACTTTTGTGGAAACTATTCCATATCTGCAAGAACTAATGCAGTCTCATCAGAGCAAGAACTCACCCAATATCCTGCGGACAGCACCAAACCATTCATGAGGGATCTACCCCCATGACCCAGACACCTCCCACTAGGTCTCACCTCCTAACACCAGCACAGCAACCTCTGCTTCCCATGTTCAAATGATTCTCCCATCTCAGCCTCCTGAATAGCTGGGACTACTTGCATGGACCATTATCCCCAGCTAATTTTTGTAGCTTTTTGGTAGGGACAGGGTTTCACCATGTTGCCCAGGCTAGTCTCAAACTCCTGGGTTCAAGAGACCCACCCACCTCCGCCTACCAAAATGCTGGGATTACAACAGGCTTGAGCCACTATGCCCAGCCAACCATTGACATTTAAAGTAATTATTGATATTGTTGGATTAATAGCTACCATGTTTGATAATGTTTCTCTGTTTGTTACCCTTGTTCTTTGTTTCTGTTTTGTCTTCCACACTCTTTCTGCTTTCTGTGGCTTTAAGCATTTTGTATAATCCCTTTTTCTCTTCTATTTTTTTTTTAGTATGTCAATTATACTTTTTTCAATACTTTTTTTAGTGACAGCCCTAAAGTATGCACTGTACATTTACAACAAAACTAAGTCTAATTTATGAAAGTCCAGAGTAGGGAAATCTGTGGAGAAAGAAAGTAGATTAGTGGTTGCTTAGGCCTGGAGAGTTATGACAGATGTTCAGGGGTAATAGCTAAAGGATACAGAGTTCCTTCTTGAGGTGATGAAAATGTCCTAAAATTTACTGTGGTGATGGTTGCACACATTTGGGAATGTACCAGAAATAATTGAATTATTCACTTTGGGTGAATTGTATAGCATTAAAAATTCAATTTCAATAAAACTATTTTAAAATGTAAGATATTCCAAAAAGTATATATAATTATTATCAAATTTAAAGAGACTAGGGGTTTACAAGAGGCACCTCTTCTAGCCCTCCCTACCCCTCTTATTTCACCTTTGCACCCCAAACATGGATCTGGGGTTTTGACAAATGTGGTGTTGCCACCACTTTTTAGAACAAATGCCACTGCTAGCATTCTAAGCTGTAGATGAAAGAGATGGGTGTGGGGAGAGTGGGTAACAAGGAATAATTCCTCTGAACCATGGTTCATGCCAGGCATATGGCTTAGGATGAACTAGTGACATAAGACCCAGGAGGCAACTAGCTAAAACTTCTTTCAATAACGTACCCTCTCCTGGAGCGGGGAGAAAAACCTCATTGTAAGAGACCAGGTACTGGCACTATGACACTCTGAAAATAGATTGCCCAGACTTCAAAACAGATCTGCACTTCAGGAGTACAACTATTGGTACTCTGCAGGAGGAAAGTGTGGCCTATGTGGTTAGCCTGTTTGAAGACATTTATGTGTTGTCTCTGCCAGCATGTAGCAGTCATACCAAAAGACCTCCAGCTAGCATATTGTACACCTGTACGATGTCTCATGTAAGTAAAGAGTGTACTTCAGAATCCATTTTCAGCTGGGCACGGTGGCTCACGCCTGTAATCTCAGCAGTTTGGGAGGCCTAGGTGGCCTGATCATGAGGTCAGGAGTTTGAGACAAGCCTGGCCAATATGGTGGACCCTCGTCTCTACCAGAAGTACAAAAATTAGCTGGGCATGGTGATGCATGCCTATCAGCTACTCGGGAGGCTGAGGCAGGAGAATTGCTTGAACCCTGGGATGGGAGGTTGTGGTGAGCCAACATCGCCTCACTGCACTCCAGGCTGGGCAACAGAGTGAGACTCTGTCTAAATAAAAAAAATCCATTTTAATGGCAAACATTGCATTTTCAACAAAACAAAAACACCACCTACCAACTTCTTCTCAATATTGGTAGTTCTAAATGTCAGTGTTTTTTTGTAACCGTGTGATCAAAATATCCTAATTGTATGAATGGAAAAATAGGTGTAGAATAGGTATTGGCAAGTATTTTCCCATTTTTATTAGTGTGTGTTTTTTTTTTTTTTTTTTTTTAGACAGAGTCTTGCTGTGTCGCCCAGGCTGAAGTACAGTGGCATGATCACGGCTCACTGCAACTTCTACTTCCTGGGTTTAAACAAGTCTCCTCACTTAGCCTCCCGAGTAGCTTGGATTACAGGTGTCCGCCACCATACCCAGCTAATTTTTGTATGTTTTGTAGAGACAGGGTTTCACCATGTTGGCAAGACTGATCTTGAACTCTTGACCTTGTGATCCATCCGCCTTGGCCTCCCAAAGTGCTGGGATTATAGGCGTGAGCCACCGCGCCCGGCCCGTGAATTTTTAATATAAATATGGGAACATAAGGCATTAAAGGAAGTCAAAATATTTTAATGAACAAGTTTCAGTAATTCAGTTTATAACGGTTATAAGTAAACCCATTAAAATGTTCATACAATGAAAGCACTTAGCTTTTTTAAAAAAGTACATTTCTTATTGATGACAACTAAATGGCATGTGTATAATTTTATCATACAGTAGATTCCATTCATTCACTATAGTTATGTAATTGACTCTACATGCAAGTATATCATTTTAACATTGTGTGTACTATTTATGTTTAATAGTTATTTTTTAAAAAGCTAACGTTAACAAGTTCCACATTTCTCAAATGCACATCTATTCTTGCTAAAATCCACCCAGTATTTTTTTATCCAGTAAAATGAATAGTTACTTAAATTATTAATACTAGTAATCATAATCCAACCTAACAGGAATTTTTTTCCTTTTAAATTATTCTCTAACCGCTGTTTTCAATAGTTGGTAGTATGTACCCCTGGGAGATGATTGGGAATTTTATGGGGTAATATTTTGGTTGTTACATTGATAGGGAAATGTTACTGGATCAGTTGCCCAATGTGTAAGTTCAGTTGATTTCAGTCAGTTGTCCTAATGTTTGAGTTCACTAGATTTCAAGCCTTCTCTTAACATATTTTCACAGTACTTGGTGCTTTGAGCTTCTAATTTCCTCAGAGGTCTAGAGAATAACTTGTCTTTGGCAAGCAGTTTAAGTTATCGCTTTCTTTCTTTTGCCAAGTCAGTTACCACTTGTCTGTCTGCATTATGCTGTCTAAATATTTCTTTAAATCGCTTATCCTCTGATGTCTCCTCTTTCATTCTCTCTTTCATAGTAGTTTTGTGCCCTCTTATTTTATCCCTTTGCAGTCAATCCGGCAAAGGGTTGGAAAGGAAGAAGTGGTTTCAAAGGAAAAAGAGACCACCTTGTAATCAATCTGATATGCTTTAACACCTCTGTTGGAGGTAGCGTCTCCTCCTAGACCACATAGGAAATGTTCTAGGTGTTTTTGGTTACTATAATGACTGGCTGATGCATTGGCAGTTCATGCCTGCTTTACAACTAGATCTGCTAAAACATTCTGCCATATGTGAGTCCACCCAAAATGCCAGTAACACCCTGATTTACAAACAGTGATCTAGTACAATTCAAGTTCATCACAGCCTTGCATTAATTCAGTGTAAACAGTATGTTTAGACACTAACATTTTCTTTAATTGAGAGTAGTGTCAAATCTTACTCATTACTAGTTTTGGGGCTGGGCTTTTGAAACTAATGTTCATTCAGAAATAACAATGAATATAGTCTTGGCTCCTTATCATTAAAAGGAAGAACACATTGGATAAACTGTTTTCTTAACTCCAGCATTCAATTTTGCTACATGTTTTGTCTTCATATTAACAGATATTTTGGTAAAAGACCTCAGTGGGATTGTAGAGGGGCATCAAATCTTAAGGAACTTCACCAGCTATTAAGTGACATAATGATTAGAAGATTAAAGACAGAAGTTTTAACCCAGCTGCCCCCTAAAATCAGACAGCGTATTCCATTTGATCTTCCATCAGCAGCAGCCAAGGTGAGAACCCTTGCTTGATTGAAAGTCTTACTTTAAATAATTTTGATGATACTATTACAGATTGTGCATATTTCATATTTCACAGAAGGAAAAGTTTGCTTTCCTAAAATGGATTTAATTGATAGAGCCTATAAATTGGTTTTGTATTTCAGCAAAAAAGTAGGAAGATATCAGTATTATTCATCAAATACTTAAAAAGATACGATAACCTAGTGATTTTTTTTTAAGTACTTTTTGCTGAAAAAAGTACTTCGGTTGCAACAGAGATGTAGTATTAAGAATTGTAAATATCAGCCGGGCGAGGTAGCTCACACTTGTCATCCCAACACTTTGGGAGGCCGAAGCGGGTGGATCACCTGAGATCAGGAGTTTGAGACCAGCTTGGCCAACATGGTAAAACCTCATCTCTACTAAAAATACAAAAAGTAGTTGGGCATAGTGTTGCACACCTGTAATCCCAGCTACTCAGGATGCTGAGGCAGGAGAATCACTTTAACCCAGGAGGCAGAGGTTGCAATGAGCCGAGATCATGCTCCAGCCTGGGTGACAGAGTGGGAGCAAGACTCCATCTCAAAAAAAAAAAAAGAAATAAAAGAATTCTAAGTATTTATAAGGTGTGAAACCCAATAATTAGCAAGGGAAATTGTGTTTCTTGCTCTAGAATTTCTTTTTAAAGTATGAATAGCTGTCTTCTAGAATAACTCCATGCAGCCCTATTCTTGAAATTCTAAAACTCTGTGATCATGTTGTAAGACGTGAAATTCAGTATATCAGAAAACCAGTTTACCAATCCTTACCTAATTCTTATCCATGTTTACTTTTGGGAAATCCAGTGCTTATATATTCTCTGAAATTTCTGCAAATCTTAAAATAACTTTATTAACAGAGTTTTTCATTGTTATCCTGAAAGCTTAAAGTAAGCATTTTGTAAACATTGAGCAATATGTTACTTCTAAAATAAGAACAATCTGATTTTTTTTTTTTTTTTTGAGATGGAGTCTCGCACTGTTGCCCGGGCTGGAGTGTAGTGGCACAGTCTCAGCTCACTGCAGTCTCCGTCTCCCGGGTTCATGTGATTTTCCTGCCTCAGCCTCCCAAGTAGCTGGCATATACGTGCACACTACAACACCCAGCTAATTTTTTTTATTTTTAATAGAGATGGGGTTTCACTATGTTGGTCAGACTGGTCTCGAACTCCTGACCTCATGATCCACTAGCCTGGGCCTCCCAACATGCTGGGATTACTCCTGACCTCATGAGCCACCATGCCAGGCCTCTGATTTTCTTATCTATTATTTTAGCATTCGAAAGAAAAATAAAATGGAATCAACATATGATTACATTTTTACTTAATACTATTTTTATTTAATATTCTCCATCTTTAAATCAAACCACATCTTTTTATAAAGTACTTAGCTGCCATATACATTTTTACTACTCTGCTTTCTTTTGGTTCTTATGTTCACTTTATAGAATGTATCTTCTTAAAAAGTTATAATTGTTTGATTTATGCTGTTAGCAAAAGGCTTTGTTTTCATTCACAGCTTATCATTGGTTTCTATAATTGGCATGAAAATGTGACTGACCTACCTCTGAATTGATGTTTTTAAATGAATATGTTGGAATCTTTGGGAATTTTCTTTTTATATATTTCTATAGAAAAAAGGAAAAAAAGTAGGACATGATTCATGATTGCATTAATTTGTTCTGTTTGTTATATTCCTAAACAATGTTATTTTTTCCCACATAGGAGTTGAATACCAGCTTTGAAGAGTGGAAAAAATTAATGAGAATGCCAAATTCAGGTGCCATGGAGACAGTCATGGGGTTGATAACTCGCATGTTTAAACAAACTGCTATTGCCAAGGTACTCTTTGCTGGGTCATCATGTATTTGTCTTCATACAAATTATTCAATATATGTTACTGTTTTGAATTAAGCAGGTTATTTATATATTTGCAAATTTTCTCTGCCATTGTTTAACTCTTTTTTCTTTTTTGAGTCAGGAGTCTCACTTTGTCACCCTGGCTGAAGTACACTGGCATGATCTCGGCTTACTGCAACCTCCGCCTCCCTGGTTCAAGTGATTTTCCTGCCTCAGCCTCCCAAGTAGCTGGGACTGCAGGCGCATGCCACTGTGTCCAGCCTGTTTAACTATTATGGAAAAATTCATATTATTCAAAGTAACAGTAATGCTATATCTAATTATATATTCATCTTTTCCAATATACAGGTATATTTTGATGAAAGAGAATAATATACTTTCTCATTTAAGGGACTTATGTATATATATTCATCTTTTTTTTTTCAAACAGAGTCTTGCTCTGTCACCCAAGCTGGAGTGCAGTGACTCAATCTCAGCTCACTGCAACCTCCACCTCCTGGGTTCAAGCAATTCTCCTGCCTCAGCCTCCCAAATAGCTGGGATTACAGACACATGCCTCCACACCTGGCAAATTTTTTTTTAGTACTTTTAATAGAGACAGGTTCCACCATGGGGGCCAGGCTGGTCTTGAACTCCTAACCTGAAGTGATCCACCCACCTCGGCCTCCCAAAGTGCTGGGATTACAGGTGTGAACCACCGCGCCCGGCCTATATTTATCTTTATTATTACTATTCCCATGGTTTTACTACATTATTACTGCAAATAAGCTTTTTTTATTTGTCAGTCATCTTCCATTGATATTCTCCATTCAGTACCCTATAGAGGTAATTGTGCTCACATTTTGTTTGTCTAAAAGTGAACAATACAGGATTTTAGAATTTAAGTCTTAGTGTAACTGTAAAGTAAACTTATCATATATTTGTGGTAGTTGTTGTTTTTACCACCATAGTAAATCTGTAAATACTGAGGAGTGTCACTCCACTTAATTCTGAGACTTTTTTGTAACATAATTTTTCAGTTTAGGATTATTGAGGTATATTTACATGAAGTGAAACTTACTCTTTTAAATTGTATGGTTGGGCCAGAGGTGGTAGTGTGCCTGTAGTTCTAGTTACTTGGGAGGCTGAGGAGGGAGGATCCCTTAGCTCAGAAGATCAGGGCTACAGTGAGCTATGATCGTGCCACTGTACTCTGGCTTTGCAACACTGTCTCTAGAATAGAATAGAAGAGTAGAGTAGAGTAGAATAGAATAGAATAGATAGTGGTTGGATGAGGCTTGACAAATGTGTATAGTTAGGTAACCACCACTGCCATGAAGATACAGATATTTTCTGTCATGCCAAAAAGTTCTCTCATGTCCCTTTGTAGCATTTCCCCTCCACCCATCCGTATACCTTGGCAATCACAGATCTGCTTTCTGTCACTGTAGTTTTACATTTTCCAGAATGTCACAGAAGTGGAACAACAGCATGTAGCCTTGTGTCTGGCTTCTTTAACTTAGTATAAAGCTTTTGAGATTGATTCAAGTTGTTGTATAAGTTATTACTTTTTCCTTTTTATTGCTTACCTTACATCCTCCAATGTATGGGAACAAAACTTAAAAACATTTTTTTTGAGAGACAGGGTCTTGCTCTATCACCTAGGCTAGAGTGCAGTGGCGCAATCATAGCTCACTTCAAGTTTTGAACACCTGGGCTCTAGGGATCCTTCTGCCTCAGCCTCCCAAAATACTGGGATTACAGTTGTGAGCTAACTTACCTGGCCCCTTAAAATGTTTTGTTTTTGTTTTTGAGGCAGAGTTTCGCTCTTGTTACCCAGGCTGGAGTGCAATGGCACGATCTCAGCTCACCACAACCTCCACTTCCTGGGTTCAGGCAATTCACCTGCCTCAGCCTCCCAAGTAGCTGGGATTACAGGCGTGCACCACCATGCCTAGCTAATTTTTTATATTTTTAGTAGAGACGGGGTTTCACCATGTTGACCAGGATGGTCTCAATCTCTTGACCTCGTGATCCACCTGCCTCGGCCTCCCAATGTTTTGTTTTGTTTTTTTAATTCCTTCACCAATTAATGGACATTTTGAATATTTCCATTTTAGACTATTATAAGTAAAAGTAATATAATCATCCATGTACAGGCCTTTATATAGTCATGTATTTTCATTTTCCTTGAGCAAATACCTGGAAATGGAACTGCTGAGTCATAAGAAAAGTGTAGATTTACCTTTACAAAAAACTGCCAAATTGTTTTTAAAAGTAACTATAATATTTTACGTTTCTACTGCCATTGTATGAGAGTTCCATTTGATATCTTTGTCAGCACTAGGTATTGCCATCTTTTTAATTTTAGCCATGCTTGTGGATATGTAGTGGCATCTCATTGTGCTTTTAATTTGTCTCTTCCCAATGACTAATGGTGTTGAACATGTTTTTCTGTGCCTTTTGGCTATTCATTTTCTTTTGTGAAGTATCTGTTCATATTGAGTCCGTATTTATATGAGGTAATAACTTTATTTTGGAAATAAGATATATATTACATATATATCTTACAAATATGTCCTCCAAGTCTAGGGATTTCATTTCTATTTTATTAACATTGTCTTTCAGAGAACAGAAGTTTTACATTTGAAAACAGTCTAGTATATCAATTTTTTCTTTTTTTTTTTTTTGTATTTTGAGTTCTAAGAAATTTTTGCCTAATCTAAGTTCACAGAGATATTCTCTTATATTTTCTTCTAAAAGTGCCATAGCTTTAGGTTGTCAGTCATGTGCTACTTAATCAAATTTCAGTCAACAAAACACCACATATACAACATTGGTCTCAAGATTATAATGGAGCATATATGGAAACACAATAAATGGCACTTGACATTGGATTGCAGATTAAGTAGGAGAAATAATTGGTATTCAGAAATGGTGCTAGGTCCTTTGGTTTTTCATATGGAAAATATATATATAAATAAAAATATATATACCATCTAGGTTTGTGTAAGTATACTCTGTGATGTTCTCAGAATGACAAAATTTCCTAACAATGCGTTTCTGAGAACATACCCCATAGCTAGGTGATACATGACTGTATACATAGGTCTATAAATTATTTTTAATTAATTTTTTTATATGGTACAAAGTAAAGGTAGAGGCTCTGATTTTTAAAATTTTTGTTTTGGTTTGTCATTTTACATATGGATTTTCAATTGTTCCAACATTCACTGGAACACGAAAGATTATTTGGCCCTCCTTACATTTCCTTGGCACCTTCATCAAAAATCAATCGGCAGTATATGTGTAGGTCTGTTTCTGAACTCTATTCTCTTTCTTGGTCTATTAATCCTCCTTACACCACAATGGCTTGATTACTGTAGCTTTATGATAAGTCTTGAAGGCCAGGTGCAGTGGCTAACACCTGTAATCCCAGTACTTTGGGAAGCCGAGACAGGTGGATCGCTTGAGGTCAGGCGTTTGAGATAAGCCTAGCCAACATGGCAAAATGCCATCTCTACTAAAATTACAAAATTAGCTGGACATGCTGGCACATGCCTGTAATCCCAGCTTCTCTGAAGGCTGAGAGAGGAGAATCGCTTGAACTCAGAAGGTGGAGGTTGCACTGAGGACACTGCACTCCAGCCTGGGCAACAGAGTGAGACTGCATCTCAAAAAAAAGAAAAGTTTTGATATTATATAGTGTTTACCATGCTTTATTCCTTTTCCATATTGTTTTGTCTTTTATAGGTCCTCTGCTTTTCCATATGAATTTTCGAATCAGCATTCTAAGTGTATACACTTTTGTTGGAATTGTGTTTGATCTGTTGATTACTTTGGAAGAATTTACTTCTGAATAATATTTAGTCTTCTGGCCCCCAAAAAGAGTCTTGTTCACCTTTAATTTATCTCCACAATGTTCTCTAGTTTCTTGAACACATTTTATTAGATGTATCCATAGATATTTTATGGCCTTTTATGCTCCTGTAAATGATATTTTTTAAAATGTAAATTTCCAAGTTTCCATTGATAAGTATAGAATTACTATGGATTTTCGTATATTAACCTTTTATTCTGTGACCTTGCTGAACACCTTTTATTAGTTCTTATGGATCCTTGGTTAATTCTAGAAGATAGGGAATCTTTTTGTCTGCATGTAAAGATACTTTTATTTCTTCCCTGTAATCTATATGCCTTTTATTTATTTATGTTGCCTATTATGTTGAAGGAAGACTTGTACAATTTTGGATAGAAATGATAGGACTGCACAGCCTTACCTTGTAGCCTATCTTAGAGGGAAGGCATTTATTTAGTCTTTCACCATTAAATGTGTTATTATTGCTAAGTTTTTCTTAGATGACTTTCCTTTCATAAAGGAAACTTTTTCTTTTTCCAGTTTGTTGAGAGAAGAAATGGAACATATGAACGTTTTTTTCCTTTGGCAGAGAAGGGAAGGAAGAGGTAGCTATTATAAAAATGGATATGAAGAAAATAGCTAAAGTTCTAACACTACTCTAAGTGAAAGAACTAGGCTTTTATGAATGTTCACCCGAGTGTAGTGGCTCACATCTGTAATCCTGGCACTTTGGGAAGCCGAGGTGGGAGGGTCCCTTGAACTTAGGAGTTCGAGATCAGACTGGTAGCAGAGGAAGACCTTGTCTCTGTTCTGTAAAAAACAAAGAAAAAGACAAAACAAATAAAAAAGAACAAAAATTTTTCAGAAACAAAATTTTAAAAAAAGAAGAAAGTTCACAATAAAAAGGGGTCCTGCCACAGGGGAGTTTATACTCACTCACAAGCTTTATTTCCACTGGCATCTACTAGGTGCTGACTAGGAGTCCTGAGAGCATATCCATTAGTGGAGCACAAGCTCAAATATCTATTTTCAGTACCCTTTCTTTTACTAAAAAAAGCCTTAAGCCATTGTGGAAAAGACAGAGTACCCCTCCTCTAGCCTCAAAGCCTAGTCCCTGATGGACTGCTTCTGGTGGTGGGATAGG